TGGAATTCAACCCTAACTGACCTGATAAATCGTGAAGGCCCGGTGGTCTACTCTGTGAGAGCGGTTGGAAGGTCGGTGGTTAGGTTACCTGGTCTCTCCACCGTCGTCAACGCCGTGCTACTGTAACAGACTGCGTGTTTAACTTAATCTTGTTTGCAGATTAATTATATTCCATTTCCGAGTTGTTTGTTTATTTGTGTTTCCAGAGCAGAAGGAGAAAATACCTCACGCTTTCATTTAACGAGAAGTCAGGCGCAATTTGATTTAAATACACTAAGACAGAAATCGGATTTTTGCTCACTGTCCTATGGGTCTTGCTCCTTTCTTAACCCTTCAAGTCCCAAAGGTGACCAACATCAATTTTCTCCCAACAATATTCATGCCTTGTCAAGAGATAAGGTGATGAGAATTTATGAAATGATCACGTAAGAGAAAATGCTTTGATCTGCTATCAAATTCTCCCAACTAAATCTTAAAGGAAATGTATGGAGATCAGTTTGGAGAATTGGGGCTTAAATGTTAAGTACCATGTTTCCAAATTTCAATTCAGCGGGAGTCCGAAATGGCCACATATTGGCCAGTTCTAACCTTGTTACTCTCTTTATTCTGCTTCAATTATTGTTAAGACCTACAGTGTAGAAAATACGTCAAACACATACGTGCGAGGGCTTCACTTAGTTAGCTTTCTTTAATAACTTTTTCTTTACGATTGCCTCTTTTGAAAAAGGCATAAGCCAGAGGGTTAATGGCCGAGTTTAAAACCAAGACAGTAATTTTATAGTTTTCATCATTACACCGTGATGGGATAGTGTTAGAAAACTACAACGCAGGTACATTCTATAGCAAACAAGAAACACTCTTATCACAAGACCCATCATTATTACTGCAGACCGCTCGTGAAGAGTTTCATAAGACGCCCGATGGTCCGGTGGTTAAAACGTAACTGTTTTGCTATTAGGTGCGTGCTGACCGATCATGCTTGCCTACATGAAAATTCATTGATAGAAAACTGGCTATAATCAGAGCACATGGGAGGATCTCGAGTGAAATTACATACAGCCAGTTAAAAGGAGCAGTGACAAGACTCGTTTTTAAACTAAAACGAAAAGAAAACTGAAACACCACAAAACCAAATGTTATAGTCCAAAAGAAGAAAAAAACAAACGGATAATTCGACGACGAGTCATAAATTAAAGAAATGCACTTTAGAGGATAGACGATAGCAATCAAACGATCTAGTTCTAAACTGTATAAGTTTCCAACGGAAGTGTTACGAAACAGCCACCTTATAAAACTCACCCAAGATAGCAAATGTTGAGGCCAGTAGCAGGCGTTTTTGTCGTAATGTTGCAGAAAAATAGAGGAGGAGTTACGCTCAACTACAACACAGAAATCTGCCACGGATAGAGAAAATATAATCGCGTTAGTTTTGGTGCGGAGATTTCGTCTGCTGCAAATGAGCCGAGGAAGATTGTCAAATTATTTCCAGTGATGGTCAGTAACGAAAGAAACCAGCTGAGAATCCAAAACCAGGTCTCCATCCGTATTAACAGTTAAAGGAAGTTCTTATCAACTATAGATGATAAACTAGTAATACCTACAAGGTTACTGAGTGCGGGCGGCAACGATCAAAGGTTAAAATGCTTTTTCTCCATCACTGTGCGTACTTTGCGTGCGTTTCACGTGAGAGATAGTCAAAACACGCGTGATCAGATTAATACGGGTGATAGAAGGTCCAAACGCACGTGATCGAATTGCCTTTTGTATATTCCATTCATTTTTTGGGGACGTCCAAACGAATGCTGGCTACATACATGTGACGCATGCGAAATAACTAGTAACTGGTAATAACCAAAGCTTAGGGAGTGCGGGCGACAACAATCGAAGGTCAAAACGCTTTTGCTCCATCGCTGTGCTTTGCGTAAGTTTCACGAGACATATGGTCAAAACACGCGTGATCAGATTACGAGGGGCAGAAGGTAGAGACGCGCGTGATCAAATTGCGTTCTGTGCATTCCATTCATTCTTAGTGGAAGTCCAAACGAATGCTGGCTACATACATGTGACGCAAGCGTAATAGCAACCTGGAGATTAGGATTGCGGGCTCCTCTTGTCGCCCGCAATAACGCTTTTGCGTAAAAAGCAGGGTCACATTTATCAAATTGACGTATTCCTAAGTTAGCAAGAGCTAGAGAAAATCTGGAACGTTACGTGGCAATAGCGCTAAAACATCTGTCAGTCAAACGGGACAAAGTCAGTCACGTGAGTTATCCCTTTACCGCAATTTACTGTCAACTTGGTTCACTAAATAATTGCGAGATCATTGTAATCTTACTTGCGACAGTTCTGTATTAGAAACTGCGACAGGTGTTACAAATTACGGCCAAAGTTAAGCAGCAATTTATTAGAAGGTTTTTTTCGTTTTCGCTATCCGATCAAAAGCGAGTAGGTAAAATTGCATGTTTGTCGAAAAAAATACATATATATGAGATGCTACAAGACGTTAAACTCAAAGCAAAGAAACAGCTTGAAAACTTGTTTGCTAAAGAAAACGATGGCCTTTCTCGTCATGAGAAATAAGAGCACTCCTGTATGCAATCGATGCAGATCGTACCAACGTTCTTAAAACATTTCATTTAGGCTAAGCTAAATTGATCGGAATAATTTGCATTTGGAAGATAAATAATACTTAATTCACCTGCTCAAAAATGATCTTACTTCATTCTCGATTCATGCAGAGTATTTCTTTTTTAACAGTGCGCTAAAGAGGAGAAAGTGAAACCAAGTGTCTGCTAGCAGGATGTGAACATAAAATTGTACTCTCATGATGTGATACTAAAACTTCCATCCAATAAGAACTTTCGCCTCCCATCACTGTGTGAACTTGATCCTAAGTTTCCCTAATGTTTTACATTCTCTTAGGGTCCAAAGGTTCTTGTTTTCTCTCCTCATATGCCTGTTTTTTTTTTTTTCCAAATTCCAATTCGCTTTCAGTCAAGAGTCACAGATCTATCTGGCAGTCTCTTCTTAAGCCTTTCATCGTCTTTTAAGTCCTACACCCTCCAAAATTGAGTCACGCGTCCTGTGGTAGGGTTTAGTTACAATTGATGTACATTCTTTAAAACACAGCGGCAACAAGTCTTTTAAACTCTTTCTTTATGTCTCTTTTAAAAAAGGCATAAGCCAGGGGGTTAATGGCCGAGTTTAAAACCAAGATAGGAATTTTGTAGTTTTTATCATGGCAGGGCGATGAGGATAGTAATAGAAAACTACAACGCAGATACATCCCATAGCAAACAAGAAACACTCCTATCACAAGACCCATCATTATTACTGCAGACTTCTCGCGATGAGTTTTAAAAGACTCCTGATGGTTAAAACGTAACTGTTTTGCTAGGGTGTGTGCTGACCGATCATGTCTGCGTACATGAAATATCATTGATACAAAGCAGAGTATCAGTATAAGACATGGAAGAATCTCGAAAACTATGGTCATCACCCAAATTGCAAAAGGACAGGTCTTATTTTGATATAAAACAATACAAAGGGTATCTTTTAGCACATTATAACTAACTGTTAGAACCCAAGAGAAGAAAATAGCTTGGGTAATTCGACGGCGAGTCATCAAAGTAATGTATTTTAGAGGATGGACGATGGCAATAAAACGATCCAGTACTAAGACGCATAAGTTTACAACAGACGTATTACTAAACAACCACCTTATGATATTCACCCAAGTTCTCAAATGTTGAGGCCAGTCGCAGGTGTTTGTAATGTCGCAAAAAAACAGAGAAGGAATAACGCTCAAACCAACACAGAAATCCGCCACGGCAAGTGAAACAATAAACGCGTTAGTTTTAGTGCGGAGAGTTCGTCTGCTGCATACGAGGAAGATTGTAAATCCATTTCCAGTGATGGTTAGAAATGAAAGGAACCAGCCAAGAATCCAAAACCAGCTCTCCATCTTAACAGTTAACGGAAGTTCTTATCAACTGTAGAATACAACCAACATCTTGCATAAATATCAGCGACACATGTCAACTGGTCAATGGGGCGTTTTATGACGCCACGGCGGCTATATTGGTGTCTTAAAACAATTAGACGGCGGCGTTGTTAGCGTGCCAACCAATCCTGTGGGAATTAACTGAACTCTTCTCC